CTGGGTAGCGTGGAGGGACAGTGCAGGAGGGGAAGACCCTCTATGAGATGGATTGATTCAGTGACTGGGGTAATCAGGATGGGTGTGTCAGAGGCAATGTGATTGGCACAGGATAGAGCAGGGTTTATGGCTGTTGTACATAGGGTCGCTATGAGTCGCAAATGACTCTATGGCACATATCAACAACAACAATTATCATGAATACTTATGCTCTGGAACTTCAACTTTACATCAAAATTGGAGAGATCATTTGTAGTTTAGTTTTGGACACAGTCTCTTAATTAATAATATAATTTAAAAGCTCAGGCGGTTTACTGACATACCACGTTGAGGTGTAATGCTCTTGAGGGCTGGGAGTACCTCAGCATGTTTTCAAACAGACAACTTGGCCATCGTCTCACCAGAGAGTTTGACAAGAAGAAAAAGGAGCTTGAGAGATAGACCTGCTGAAGATACCACTTTGGGTGGTGCAGTAAAAAATTTTTTTTCAACACCTTTCACTTTTTGCAGTATCAAGCCTGTCCTGGAGAAGGTGAACCCAAGTTGTTCCTTGGAAACAAAGGTTTTGTAACTCTGTTTCACACACTTTGGAAATACTGCCAGGAGGGCCCACTTGGAGAAGGATATCATGCTTGTAAGGATAGAGGATCAGCACAGGAGAGGAAGATCCAGGATGAGATGGACTGACACAGTGACTGCACTAATTAGAGTGGATGTGTCAGCGACAGTGAGATTAGCTCAGGAGAGGACAGGGTCCAGAGCTATTATTCACAGGGCCTGTGGAATGTATAGTGGACTCGGCAGCACACAAGGTTAGTAGTTTATCTGGGGAACTGCCTGTCTGATCTCTACAAACACAGCACAAGGTAGTTAAGGTAGTCAGCATACTGTGTCAAATTAGCTAATATTCTAATTGTTTCCTCTACCAAATACAAGGATAAAAAAGGTTACACAGAAACAAAAAGATTTTTGCATGCATGTAAATTTCCTCTTGTCTTCTTTAAACTGCTTTAAAGGGAACAACTTCCTAGTTTGAGGCAACATGGTTTCTGTTTCTCATGGGACTTGTACCGTACGGGGAAGCCTGGTCTGGTGAGCACTTGGTGGCAAGGCCACACTGCTTCACATCAATCACTGGCTTTCTCAAGGAGACCTGGACCCTTGATCTCAAACAGCATGGAAGGGCTCATTGAACTGCCACAGAACTTTCTTCCTGCTTTTTAGTACTATAGGCTCCCAGTTGAATGTTCTGGGCACTTTCTAAATTCTTTTCTCACTTTTATATTAGAACACAGACCACGTGTAAAGAACAAAGGTTATATTTATCTGAGAGGATGCAGAACATTCAGGCAAACAAATAAGATGAAAAAGATGTACAGATAATAAACATTTAACTCTGATGCTTGACATAAATTATAACTATTTAAGCTCAAATGGGTTAAAAGAAATAGACAAGGATAAAACTTCACAAATGGATTCAGACAACCAAGCCAATCACTTTTCAGCGATATGGAAAAAGGTTCAGACTCTTCTGTACAGAATGATAACATCTCCTCAAATTAATGAGAACAAAATATATAAGGGAATTTAGGGCCTATAATCTGTTTTCTCAGTGTGTCTCTTGTTAAGATTTTGTCTCTTATTTTTGCATTTATTAGATAGATAACTGATGCTTTTGAGACAGTGTCAGCAGAGGGTCAACAACCAATAAGCCACATTACAGCACAGGCTCCATTTGTTATTTCCTGTTTGGTGTTAATCTAAGTGGAGTGGAGAAGGGTCCCCCGCATCAAATTCTTTCCTTGTTTTACTTTGCTTGGTACTATGTCTCTGCTTCTATCACTCTGTGTCACACACACACACACACACACACACACACACACACTCACACTCACACACAGACACCCCACTCATTACCATGGCCTGGTTTAGGTACACCTTATTCTCCAGGTTGACATCATTGCTTTTAAGTACTTTGGAGAGGTCACTAACAGTACAGTTTCCCATCAAAATATGTCTTTTAATTTCCTGGCTGCTAGTGCCAGGAGTGTTGATTATGGAGCCAAGCAGACTAAAACTGTGAAAAATCTCACTCTCTTCACCATCTATAATGATGCTGCCAATCGACACAGGGGTAAGAATCTGTATTTCCTTGATATTGAGCTTCAATTTATATTGAAGGCTGTAGTCCTTGACTTTCTGCAGCAAGGAGTGCAGGATTCCTCAATTTCAGGAAGCAGGGTTGTGTCATCTGCATAATGCATATTGTTGATGAGTCTTCCTCCCATTCTGGTGCTACATTTCTCCTCATAGAGCCCAACCTTCTGGATAATCTGTTTGCATATATATTGCATAGAGATACTCGAAAGTACTGAAGAGCAATGGTATCACTCTGGAGACTAAGGTGCAGCTGATACAGGCCATGGTCTCAACATTCATTTGCTATGTGTCAGAGAGATGGACAATGACTAGGGAAGATAGAAGGAGAATTGAAGCTTTTGAGCTGTAGTATTGGAGAAGAGTATGGAATATACCATTGACTGCTAAGAAAATTAACAAGTTCACCCTGGAGAGGATTAAACCAGGCTGCTCCTTGGAGGCAAGGATTCTTAAGCTTTTTCTGATATATTTTGGACAAGTTGCAAGGAGAGACCAGTCCTTTGGAGAAGGATGACAAGCTTGGGAGGGCGGAGGGATAGTGCAGGAGAGGAAGATGCTCTATGAGGTGTATTGATTCAGTGACTGGAGTAATGAGGTAGAGAGATTGGCACAGGTCAGAGCCAGGTTTTGGGTTTGTACACAGGGTCAATATGAGTTGTAGGCAATTCGACGGCACATAACAACAGCATGAGAATATAAAATTATTTGATTCAATGCTCTTTCAACTAGGTATGTGTCTCAATGAAAATAATAGACATGGTAGGAAGAGTTACAAGTATACTCATATACATCATGTTGTTAACACCATTGTCTGTGTTAGCTAATAGATGGAAACAATCTTTGTATCCCTCAAGGCATGTTGTTGTTGTTATGTGCCATCGAGTCTTTTCCGACTCATAGCGACCCTATGCACAACAGCTCTAAACCCTGCTCTATCCTGCACCAACCGCACCGCCTCTGACACACCCATCCCGATTACCCCAGTCACCGAATCAATCCATCTCATAGAGGGTCTTCCCCTCCTGCGCTGTCCCTCCAACCTCCCAAGCATGATGTCCCTCTCCAAGGACCCGTCCCTCCTGGCAACATGTCCAAAGTATGTCAGACGAAGCCCCAGAATCCTTGCCTCCAAGGAGCAGCTTGGTTTAATCCACTCCAAGGTGAATTTGTTTGTTTTCCTGGCAGTCCATGGTACATTGGGCAGAAGTGAGGCTTGAGGGCCGCAGCGACCGCAGATAAGCAATGGACAGGCGTTTTTCACAGAAACCCGGAATTTCCGGCGGGAGCAAGCCCTTGGAAGCTCTGCCAAGTGTGGTCTTGGGCGGAAGTGAGGCTTGAGGGCCGCAGCCACCGCAGATAAGCAATGGACAGGCATTTTTCACAGGTACCCGGGATTTCCGGCGGGAGGAAGCCCTTGGAAGTTCTGACAAGCGTGGTCTTGGGTGGAAGTGAGGCTTGAGGGCCGCAGCCACTGCAGATAAGCAACGGACAGGCTTTTTCACAGGTACCCCGGAAAACATAATCTACACAGAAGTTCTACAGGACACG